TTTTTTCCCGCATATGGGGTCGCTGGTTACAGTGTACGGTATAGTTAGTTTACCGTATACTTGGTATACTAAAAGTTACTATACACTTTACTATACCCGTTTTCTTTTACTTGTAAAATATTTGTGGACCGACTTGATGATTTATTACTTACATTATATTAATGAATTAAGTAATTATACGAATAAAATGAATAAATAATTAAAAAATTTTATATATTTTATCAGTTTACATATACGCTAGAAAATAAGTACAGTAGAATCCCGTTAAGTCGGGAAATTTATAGTCTGACATCTGACTCTCGGTAGGTATAGAAAGTTCAAGGGGAATTAAAAATTTGTCCGACTTAGTAATAGTCTTTTAAAAGTCTATTTTTTTTACTTTTACTTAGTAAAAATAAATGAGTCAAATGGATTCTACTGTATATATAAATTTAATTTACTTATAGTTCAAAAACTGTTCGTGGCCGAGAGGATAAAGCAATTCCTCGCATGCTAAAGACTTGTTGTCCAACTCTTAACGTTGTCTTTTTTTTTTTGTAATAAGTATTTAAAATCTTGTATATACTTTAGTCAGTACATAGGTTACTAATACAAAGAGATGTCAAAATACATCAGTTGGTGCATTAAGAACCCTGCGTTCAAGTACTTTGCGTGTATGTTGGAATAATAGCCATTTAACTTCGGTATCAGGTAACGAAACAATAACCACGGACTATTTTTTATTTATTTTTTTTGCTTATTCTTTCCCAGTGGAAGCTATTAAAGTTCCACCACTTATATGGAACCATAAGGCTGTAATAGTCTTAAGAGATCTGTAATAGTCTAAACTGAGTGTACAATTTGTTATTAACGCTACACTTTATAATTTATAATTAATGTTGTTTTTATTGGAAGATTACGTTTTACCCCAGTCTATATTTTATATTTAATACCGTTTTAGTGTCAAACATTTTGCAGAGTATCAACTTAAATTGTAATGGGAGTTAAATAAAATGGGAAATCGCTTGTAGAAAAAGTAGTGTGTCATGATTTGACCTTATACATACCCCCCCCCCCCCGATCATTTATAATATATTTTAGCTCCAATCTTTTCAATAATAAGGAGGTCTTAGGTAAAGACGGAAAGTTATCAAGCGAAAACACTGCGTCATAAATCGATCCTCTGGTTGCAATTTAACCGACTTAAAAAAATAACGCCATCATATAGATATTTATTAATAAATGAAAAATTAACCATTTTAAAAATCTAAGAGTGCATTTTAAGACTGAACGGGGGGGGGGGCTCAAAACTTTATTAAAAATATTGATAACAAGAGGACGAGGGGCCTTGGTAACTTGCCAAATTTTTATCATAAAATATAAATCTAGCATAAAATATACAAATATATTTATTTTTTTTGTTTACATTCCCCCCCCCCCCCCTTTCCTTCACCACGTTGAGTAAGCGTTATTATAGTATTCCATATGTATTCCGTAGGAGATATAAACAAAAATTTGTATATTTTATACTAGACTTATATTTTATATTTAAAAATTGGCAAGTGGAGGGCTAGGGCCCCTCAGTTCTCTTTTTATCAATATTTTTAACAGGGTTTTCATTACCCTAGGTATAAACATGCTTCTCTGGATTTTTATAATGTTGGATTTTTCCTCATAAATATCAATAAATTGAATATTTTTTTCTAAAGTTAGATAAAGCACAGTGCACAGTGGTAAGAAGGGTGGCCAAAATTAAAAAAATTAATAAATTTTTTTGGATTTTTAAGTGGTAAATTGAAAAGCTAAAGCAATTATTATGAATATGTTAAAAAGTAAAAAAAAAAATTAAAATATTAGTTATGAAATACTTATGTTCAAAGTCAAACTATTTGGACAAAAGTGTGCTTCAAGAGAATTTTTGTGGGTAATGTTTTGTCCAATTTATATGGAAATACTTTAATATTTTTCCAGAAATATATACATCGATGGAAAGGTCATTGAGACTAGCTTTTGATTGTTGAAGTATTTTAAGAAAAATGCAGTTGTGCAAGTAAGGCCAAAATATAAAAAAATATCACAAAATAATCAAATGTTTCAACTTTGGTGGAGCAGGAAAACTAAATTACAATTCTTTACAATGTGGTCTCATCATTTAATAATGCTATACATGCTCTGAAAAATATTTGTCAAAAATTTAGCCGCCCTTTTTTGTCCTTTTTTGAAATAATTGATATTTAGTGATGCAAGGTCCTTGTAAAATGCCATTTTTCTACTACTATTTTTCAGTAGCAGATTCAATTTTTTTAATGTTTCAGATTAGATTTTTTAGGGCAGTTTATAAAATTTTTAAACTAAGTTCATGCTTATTTTAAAATATAACATTTAAAAAAAATTATACTTTAATTAGAGCCTGCGGACAAAATACATCAAAAAATTTACCGCTCAAACGCCAGGGCATTGAGTTAATAAAATATTTAAGTTGACAATCTTACACTAAATTTAAAATCATTGACAGGTTTTAAATTTTATCTAATAATCTTTAAGCGTTCGATAGTTATGATCATTTAAAATTTACAACCCCTCATTGCATTGAGCGGGTTGTAAGTTTTAAATGGTCAAAACCTTCGAACGCAAAACGATTTTTAGATGAAATTTAAAAGCTGTTGATGAAATTATATTTTGTATAATATAGTATTTCTTATTGCCCTCGCGCTCGGGGTAAACACGGGGTCTTTTAGGAATATTTTTGCTCCCAGGCTCCAATCACTGATGCTTTTTACAAAGCATAATAAGGTTTTAAATTATTTTAGATTCTCCTGTTCCCGTAAGGGCATTGGGCGAAGAAGCACTAAAGTGTCCCAATAAAATCACTAAAAAAGATCGGCTACAACATGCTCGCAAGTGCTCAAGAGAAGATTATTTATTTGATGTATTTACACGTGCAATGAACTCATCAAAACATTATCTTTAAGTACAAGATCTAAAAATAAAACTTATATACTTCCAAAAGAAGTTACAGATCTTTTAGTACCAGAAGAAGTAGACTTTAATACAAGCAATGACAAAACGATGATGACACATTAGATGATGACAACGATAATGATCGATTTAATGAAAACTTTAATATAAATGTAGAAATTGATGATTATTAGAATTAAAAATAAAATCACCCCTGGATTCAATTTGTCTTTTATTTTGACGTTAAAAGTCCACAAGGTTGGTAAAAATTATTTCGTGGTTCTAAGCAAATTTGTACTTTAGCAACACGTTTTCACTACAAAGTTTTGTCCAAAGTTGCTGTCTCTTTATTAAGATCTTTATTCAACAAATCTCTATGATTGCATCCACATGGTTGGCAGTCCAATTCATTTTGTGATACCGCATCAGGTTTTGTTTTTTTCAAAAAATCTTGTCAACTTAGGTATGGACGCAAAAAGAAATAAAAACAGTCGTCTATATTGCGAAATTTTCAATCATTTATAATTCAATAAAAATTATTATTAACTAAGAAAAAGGTATTTGTTCGTTACAAGCTGGCCTCTCCAAACGTCCTGGACATGCAGCGGCTGCCTATGATTTTAATTAATTTTTGTAGATTCGGAATCCCTGTGAAATTCTTCAAAATAATAAACTCCGCTTATTTAAAAAATTTGTTTTGCACATTCACTGTTTAAAATATGAAAAACTGCCTAATTTTTGTAAAAACACTTTTTACAAAAACTCATTTTATGTTTTCACTTTTATTATTTTTTGAACTAAATATAAAATTTTCTTAAAATTCAACATAATATTTATTACGTATTTTAAATATTTTAAAAAAATATATTTTTTTTAAATTAAAATTTCCCCTCGTTAATTAGTCACATTTTACTCATTTTTCCATTTAAAACAACGCCGACCCACCCAGCAAGACAATTTTTTTTTTTTTTAGATTTAAAATCCCCGTAAAATCTCACCAGAAGTCACTTTGCCGTTTTTGAAATTGTGAAAAAATTTAAAATTGACACATTCTACTCTCATAGGCAGTGGATGACTGGCTTTGCTGCTTTTTAAATAGGTTTAAAACAGGCATGTCAAATTGGCAGCCCGTGAGTGAAAGCGATAGCTCTATTTTATAGGGGTCTACTCATTATAGGATAAAGACAGAGTTTTAATAAAGTAGTT